AGGAAAGGGCGTCGGATTCATTTTGCTCCGTTACTCCTGTTAGCCCTCCTTTCGGATGCTGAGCCAGCCAAGGCCACAGTCACAGTGCAGCTCAGCCTCCTTCCTACTAGGTCACAGGGTCACTTGCTATCTAGCATTTGGGTAGCTTGTCTCCCTGCTGCCACATTATGAAGCTACTATCCCGTTTTGGAAGTCCCCATAATGTGATGGCCTCAAAATGTCCCCCTCCCCTGGAGAGAGCTTAGAGATCACTCTGTCATTTCAATTATTTCATCAGTATTTGCAACTTTAAAATTAGGGCCAAATAGTCAATTTCCTCCACTCTCGTTCCTGGGCCTATTTATTGTCTCCCAGGGGTCTGTCCCTCTGTCCCACCTTTAAATGCTCCTGGCACATCCTTGTCATTGGCCACTGAAACTTCCTTGATGAGCCATTCCCTTTGGCCCCATTGGACTTTGTAGCTCAACTCTCCTGGTGATCCACTTCTGGGCCAGTCTAACTGTGACTCCCCACAGGCTCCCTCCACCTCCACTGCAAACAGAGTGCCGTGTAGCTGCCTGAGCCTTCCGGCCACCAACCCTGCTAGGCCAGCAGCTACAAGGCTCTGCACTGCTGCTGGTCAGTCCTGGGGATCCTCGGGAGGGGACAGCAAACATGGCACATGGTCACCACCAATCCCCGAGCCTGTGTAGATACCACTAACCTACCAAGATGTTCTTCCTTACTGAACTTGGAGAAAAACTCAGGATCCTTCTAGTGCACCCAATAGGCACTAATAATCAATAAAAATGGAAACTTGTCTATGATCCTGTTACTTCAAGTTGCTACAGACGTGGTGTTCTCTGAATTTTGCAGCAGCATATTAGACCTTCTTTTCTTTTTTTTTTTTTTTTTTTTTTCTTTTTGTCTTTTTTCGTGACCGGTAACGGGATCGCAAATATGGGTGTCGCGCCCACACCGCGCTCAACCAGTGAGTGGACCGGTCTCTATATGGGATCCGAACCCTCGGCAGGAGCGCTGCCGTGCTCCCAAGTGCCGCACTCTACCGAGTGCTCCACCGGGCCGGCCCTAGACCTTCTTTTCTGAGGGGAACTAAGCTACATAAAAATGTTTGATGGAATTTCATCATTCCATAAGCTATTACATGCCTAGCACAGTGCCAGGTAAGTTGGGAGTGACGAATTCTTATGTGCCTGGGAAGGCAGAACATATACATGAATCAAGAGGTTCATAAGGGGCTGGTTGGAGAGGCCCTTTGGAGATGTCCCCACCATGGGCAGCCCAAGAAAGGAGACGCAGCAGGCTGGGGTGTGATAATCAGGAGCAGACACAGGGCTGATCCCCAGGTGAGGGAGCCCAGGGACTCAGGAAATGAATTTGAGAGGTGGAGGCCATTGACAGAGGCACACCTTAGACATGTCACCACTCTGGGGCAGAAGAGTGAGCTGGGACAGGAGGAGAACTATCCACAATTCTATAAATGGGCCCCATGGTCCTTGGAGCTGGGTGTGGGGACAGTGGGCCTGGGCAATGCAGGGGGAAGATCATCTGAGCCCCCACTTTCCCATCTTTTCTCCCAGTTGGACCCAAAGCTTGCTGGAGAGGGTGGAGGTCAGAACAGGAGTGAGGGAGGGAAGGGACCCAGGGCAGACACACAGGCTGTCAGAGCCACCCATGCACTGCTGTGGTGGGCCCAGGACCTTGTTAGAAGATATCATTGGTGCTTAGGTCGGAGCAGTGAGACAACTTGGAAACAAGCAAACGGTTTCCAATGGGGAAAATTGTGCAGGATCAAGGGGCTTAGGGACATACTGTGTGGAGGTATGAGATTTGGGGGTTAAATTCTAATCAATGTAGATTCAAGAGGAAAATAGAAAAGCTACAATAGGGAGAAATCCCCATGCATGTTACACTCTGGGCTGGAGCGTTGGAGTTCCCAGCTCGGTGCTACGGAAAGCCACAGAAGCTCCACCTTTGGCGGAGGGGGCCACACACCCTACCTCCCTCTTCCCCTTCCTTCTCCCACATGAAAACCACAGCTCCAATGAATCACCCACATTCCAGCTCATTTCCTATCTCCCAGTGCTAAGACATTTCCAGTACGAGGGCTGACCTGGAGCCAAATACCAATTTCTCCCGATGTGCGTGACTCATTGGAAACAGTGTCTCGGGGCTATTAAAAGAGTTGGGGGGGGGTGCGGTGTTTAAAACATTTGGGTTCAAAGCAAATTATATAGAAACTAAGCAAAGTATACATAATCCTGGCACTGAATACTGCTTTCCCCAAATAACGAGACAGGGAATAAAAGGCTCCTTAGTTAACGTGGTGCACAGACGTTCCAGGAATGGACTGAACGCTTCAGAAGAATGCAAGTGAAACTTGACTTGCACGGGTCAGTCCGTGGATTAATGTGTGAGGACCCGTTTATCTGCTAAACCCACATGTGTGAAAGAAATGTCTTCCTTGAACATGCCTTATCATGCTCAGGAGCCCTCATTTCTGCTGAAGAACAGAAACACAAACCTGATGGTGATGAGGAGGCCACCCGTTACTTCCTGCCTGGGGCACAGCCTCTGAGGCCACCTGGGACTGTCTTTGGCTACAGGGTCACCACACTCCACAGCCAGCTGGGGTGATGTGAGCATATTTCATGAAGTTTCAATAGAGGCAAAGGAGACTCACACTGGAGGCCACCAACTACCACTCACACTGTCACTCCCAGCCGGCTCCCCAGCCCCACGCTGCCACAGCAGATGGGGGCACTCTTGACTGGACAGACAGAAAACACTCACAGGCAGAGGGGGACACAGGGAGGGAGAGAAAGTGCACTGCAGGCAGTTTTAGGAGTCCTTGGCTAACAACAACCCTGAACCTAGATGCAGCCTCGGGATCTTTCTAAATGCCTTGTCCAGGGAGCTGCCACTGAACCACCTGCAGCCTGCACGAGATAGGAATCCCACCTGCCTTCCCCGGAGTGGGCAGCCGAGCGTGCCGGCCTTTGGCAGATCTGAGTTCAAGTCAGGCTCCATCCCTTACTACTTGTGTGGTCTCTGATGAGATATTTCATCTCTACCTCAGTTTCCTCATCTGTAAAGTGGGAATAATAAGGCCAGCCCCTTAGTATTATGCAGATTAAATGAGATAATGCATGGAAAGTACTTGTTAGAGTCACTGTGCTTAGTGAAACATGTTTACATGGTGCCCACTGTCATTACTGCTGTTATTTTTCCCTTCAGTATTGAGATATACAACTTTCAGAATTTACAAGTTTAAAGAGTATAAGACACTGGATTAAGGCTATGAAACCTTTGTACACCCAAATGCTGTTTCATTTGTCCAGAAAACTCACAATTTTATATGCCATCTAGCAAAATATAAATGAGAATGACCTGAGTCTATTTAGGGACCTTAAAAATGAAGTTTTAAAGGTCAGTGTAGTCTTCCTGAACAAAAGGAACACCTTTTACATCATGTCTAATAATGGACACACAAGTTCCCAGAAGCATATGATGACCTCACATTACACCCACATGTTATTTACTTTTCCAAGTAATTTAGTGATTCAAAGGCATCCCGTAATCTTAGGCCCCATAAAGAAAATTGCATTCTGTGCACTCTGAATGATACTATGAAAAATTATATCACTGATGCGTCTCCCCCATGATATTATGAACGAGAAAAAAAACCCAGTGTATGTACATTTCATCAATTAATACTAAGTTACATTACCTGTTAAAAAATGCCAGCACGGTTTCATGGATCGGAATTGCCTGAATGCTGTGGTTTAATTGCAAGTAGACCCACAAAATTATTGTCTTCAGAAGATGAAATTCACTAAAGGTAAACAACCTGGCCAAAATAAAAGATGGAGAAGAAATTTTAGGAATGGCAAATAACCACATCATACATAAGAAAATAAAGTTAAAAGTGAGTTTAGGAATGAGGCACCTCCACCCTTCATTCTACAGGTGGCCTCAAAAAGAAGTCAAGTGACTTGCTCAGGGTCNCACCTCCACCCTTCATTCTACAGGTGGCCTCAAAAAGAAGTCAAGTGACTTGCTCAGGGTCACTGAGCTGGTGAATGGAGGAGCTGGGATTCGAGCCTCAGCAGCCTGACACTGGGCCTGTGCTGTCACCCACCCCCATGCTGCTGCAAACAATGGCCACCATTTATCGAGTTCCCACTATGTGCTGGGTGTTCCCTAGATGTTTGCTGTAGATTCTTTTGATTCCACACAATAATCTTACAAAGCTGGAATATAGTCTTTACTTTCATAGATGTGGAAATTGAGACTGACCTTGTGTTTATTTAAAATTTTAATATTTTGTTTATCATGATATTTTTGCATTAATTTTGATCTTAAAATATTGCACAAAAATATACTTTATCTTGATGACTGCGTTGTTTTGGTGTCGCCCTAAATTTTGCAACCAAAGTGAATGCTTCATATGCCTCACCCTGGTCTTAGCCCTGCTTGAGGGCTAAAACACAAATGACTTATTTGATGTCACACAATGCTGGGCTCAGATCTGGGCATCGGTCACATTAGAATCTGCCCCAAACTGGCTTTGGAACCTCCTGCAAGAAGCTGCCACATCCTCGTCTGTAAAAGAGCAAGCCCAGCAACTGCACATAAGAGACAGGCCACGAGCAGAGAAGGTGACACATGTATGAGTCTCCTACTGCTGCTGTGACAAATTATCACAAGCCACACAGCTTCAAACAACACAGATTTGTTGTTTCATAGTTCTGGAGGTCAGAAGTACAAAGCAGATCTCACTGGGCTGAGATCAAGGTGTCAGCAGGGCCCTGATCCTCCAGGAGGCGCTGAGGAGATTCGTCCCTTTGCCTTTTCCAGCATCTAGAAGCCACCAGCACTCCGTCTTGTGGTCCCTTCTTCCATCTTCATGCCAGTAGCACAGCATCTTTAAATCCCTCCCTG